TTGCTTCTGAGTGTACCCAAAGCAGAGGACATTGTACTGGAATACCCCATGAAATCTTCATCTGCAATTTCTCCATTCTTACTCAACAATTTATACTGCACCATACTTAGAAAATATTTTTTCTGTGCTCACTTGTGGAAATAATTGCAGTGAAAAGGGAAGGGTGCTTTGGGCCTGCCTTAATTCTCATCTCCTCTTTCATTCCACACTGTCAACACAGTCTTCATTCTTCACAGTGGAAATGCAAGCTATGCTAGAGGGATGACAGAAGCTTAAGAGCTAAGACCTAAATCCTACCGCTATAGGAAGTGCCCAGCTCTTTTGTGCGTAAGGGACTATCTGCAGTTAGAATAGCCCTGCGGTGACTTCACTTGCAATGAGGAGTTTGGCAGCTATAAGGTACTGGGCTTGCTGGAATGAACCGGGGTAAGTTCTTACTGCTTAAGAAAATATGTGCCCTTCCAATCAATTACTTTCTCATGTGGAGGGAATGCTCTATTTTCACATTTGCATTAAAGCTGTGTCAGTCCTTAACTAGTCTGTCATGTCAGGATAAGCAAAGGGAGGAAGATATTTACCTACTGCCTCCCTGTTTCACCTAACAGTCTGTTATGAAGGCATAACAGCTCTGACGTAACTGCATTCCATCTTTTTAAAGTGGGTTATAAAACAGAAGTCTGAATTACAAGTGAGGAGGGACTCACACATATTCATTGCTGTGCAGAGAGTGTTGAGAATCATGATCCAATTCACCACAGCTGGATTTCTTTTGCAGTGTGGTTTCATTTACTTTCCTACCACTACTACCAGTACAAAGGACTGCTGTATGGAAATATTTGGCTTATGAAAAGGTGCATATTTGTCCAAAGTGAAGGTATCAGATTAAAACTCCCACATTATTCTGCATTCTGTTGCTGGAATGGTAGTATTTTAGCTAGAGGAAACTGAGCATATAAATCTGCAACTATATGAAACCATCTGGTTTACATTATTCTCTTCAGTACAAAAGAAATCCAGCTGTGTTTAAAACCCATGGAGGTAAAAATACTTCCTTCACAAAATGGAAATCCAGTCATCATAAAGCAGATAGTGTCTAAAAGACAAAAAGGTAAGAGCTGTAGTGGAATGCTCTCAAGGGAGAAACATATTCAACACCTCCAAGGCAGAGAACTGAATATGAAGGAGAGGTCTGAATGGAGTTGGTGAACGAACAGAAGAACAGCAAACTTTGCTCTTTCAGAAGCAAGTGGTCATTTCCTGCAGCATTTTGCACAGACGTAAAACTAACTCGCATGATTTGAGAGTGCTAACCAGAGCATGGCTGTGCAAGAATGCAGAGAAATAGCAAAGGCTACTCCACAGCCTCGAGAAAAATGTGGCACTGGCAGCACTGCCAGATCTTTTGCATATGTGGTAGAGAATGTCTGGAGACATTTTGTGTGGAAAATGTATGGTGCCTATAAGCTTCTTGAATTAGGATTCAACAGGAGGGACAAATACCCTTTTAAATTGTGTTCGAAAGTACTATTAAACTACATTTTAAACATTTTTTTTCTCATTTAGCATAAGTTAAAGAAGCAGTAAAGATGCTATTTTAGATTAAACAGCAACTGAAATAGCTTGTGAGGTCAGTTAGTGGTGTTCAATAGTAAATACTCTTTCTAATGTCTCAAAGTCTCATGCAAAGGAGAAAGCAAAAGGACTGTTGATGGCTTATGACCGAAGTTTCAGTAAAACTGCAAATTATTTTTGGTTTCTTTTTTAATACTGTATTGAACAATTTACGTGGCTTAAGTAATAAATATTGTGATTTCCTATATATTAAGAATTTCTGTGGAAGAAACTTTTTATATGCTTTTTATATCAGTGCAACAATCTTTGTAATAACAATACAGGTTATGTATTTGTGAATCCAGTTGTTAAAACACCTTTTATTTCATAGTGAATGGGACTTTAAGCTTCCTGAAAATCTTTTGTAAAGTGGCCCTCGCAATGCCACCATCCATTTTTACCATGACAGAGTAATATTCTATCTTATTCAGATTATTATCTAAGCTTTGATAAATATAGGGGGCCTCAGCCTGCAGTGTAGGATGGGTTTCTTCAGAAAGACATACACAATAAATTCAAGGCCTCTGTAAAGCGTGTGCTGACTTTATTCATATCTTTTTAAAGAAAATAAATTATTGTGGATGTATTTAGATGTCTGGTGAATTAGTATCAGCCCTGACCTTAAATCTTATCTGAAAGCCACTGAATTTCTTTGAGGTTAATATCTGGGACCCCAGATTTTCTGATTAAAATGTATGTTCTTGACTGGTATATTAGTCTAAAGCTGTGTTCCTCTGCTGGAGCTATTACAGGACTATTTCTTGAATCTCCAGTTCTTCTGCCTTTCTGCAGTGCTGAATTTCTGGTAAATCTGTGAATTTTATTTCTGGAACACTGCATGTTCTTTTCAAATGAAAGAGATTTGTCTGCCCATATTTGGTTTTAAGTGTATTCCTTGGCAAAACAATTTCCATATGTTTTGTTTCACTGTAGCGGGTCCAGTGCAGACAGACTGAAACAGGAGTGAAGAAGGGAGGGGAGGAATAAAATAAGTAATTATTGGGTTGGTTTTTTTTCCTGCAGGCATAGGAAGTGGGAGATACAGTAAAGGTATTAAACTCAAGAGATGTACTACAACCTAGGGCCTGTACATCAGTAGCTCTCTGTTACAAGGGAGCATTCTTCACATCACCTGCACACACATAGTAATGCCTACCACCCCACTCCTGTAGGGAAAACAGTCTATTTACAGAAACTGCTGAACCTCATTAAGGCAATCTGGCCTTCCAGGTGACTTCCCCCAGTTTATATACTGGGCACGATGTGCTGTGGTATAGAATATCCCTTTGGCTTGTTTGGGTCAGGTGCCCTGTGTCTACATCCATCTGGCTTCTTGTGTCCCTCCTCACTGGCAGAGCATGAGACTGAAAAGTCCTTGTTCAGGGTAAGCATTAATGAGCAACAACTGAAAACATCAGTGTGTTACCAGCACTGTTCTCAGACTAAAGCTGAAACGCAGCACTGCACCAGCTACTAGGAAGAAAAGTAACTGCTACAGATTAAACCAGGACAGGCATCCACAGCTTCTCTGGACAATCTGTTCCAGTGCCTCACCACCCTCTGTCCCAGCTAATAAAAATCATGACAACACGCTATGTGGAAACCTACTTTGACTTTCAAAAAACATTGGCTGGCTTAGGGATAGATACTCGCCCTCCTTGAAGATCCTTCCCTATAACGTATCAATGATCCCAGTTTTTACTTTCTCAGTCAGTAGGCCCCTGTGGAAATCATTGCAGTAACACTACTGAAAATCGGAACTAAGGAAGAAATCCACTCAGTCGCCCTTATTTTTTTTTTCATACACCATGATACTCTTTTCTTCCAAGTCTGTTTCAGCCTTTGCAGAACCAGAACTGTCTGTTACATCTGCAGGACACTTTCTCATTCCCCTCCACAGAATCACCTCATACACTAATTCTTTATGCAGTATTTAGATTTCTTCCAAAGGGAGTTCTGCAGGTGGACAACAAGAGCAGAATATTCAAGAGGCCTGTAATGCAGATCAGATAAAAAAATATAATTACCTACTGAGTTAATTAAAATTTTGCACCTGCCCTCTCAGGGGTATTTTCGTAAGAAAAAAAAAAAAAAAAGAAAAAAAGAAAAGAAAACCAAGAGTTTGGCTGTGCAATTTTTTAGTGACAAGGAATTACAAACCTGGATGATTTGCACAGAGTTAGGATTGTACCCCATATGCTATTGGTCATGCAGCTTTGGCCCAGAAACAGTTCACTGAAGCTAGATTAATATCCTACCTGTGATACTCTCTCCATCATGAACTGAAACAAAGGCAGGAGCATCTATAGAGAGCGATTCAAGTCTCAGAACTTTTTAAGCCTCCATGCATGTAAAGTAGCTCATGGTAAATCCAACCTATGACTATGTTGCAATATATCCCTCAGAAACTACTGTGAATCAGTTGATTTCTTTGTGTTAGAGGAAATCTACTGTCCCATGTAAACTTAATGGACTGTATGAGAGTTTTATAGTACAGTTTGATAGGCCTGATTGTACTTATCCCATTGAGGACAAGGTTAAAATGCCCTAAAAAGCATAATGGTAATTACTGCCCTGGACTTCAAAAGAGCAGATTTTGGCCTCTTCAGGAACCTGCTTAGTAAGATTCCATGGGATATAGCCCTAGAGGGCAGGGGTGCCCAAGACTGTTGGTTGATTTTCAAGGATCACCTGCTAAAAGCACAGGATTGTTGCATCCCAACTAGAAGGAAGTGCAGCAGGAGGGCCAGGAGACCTCCTTGGATGGATAAGGAGCTCCTGAGGAAAATTCAAACGAAAAAAGAGTGTTATAGAAAGTGGAAGCAAGGACAGGCGGCCTGGGAAGAATACAAGGATGTTGTCCGGGAAGCTAGGGACCAGGTTAGGAAAGCTAAGGCCCAGTTAGAATTAAACTTGGCTAGGGATGTTAAAGATAACAGGAAGGGATTCTATCGGTACGTAGCAAATAAAAGACAGACTAGGGACAACGTAGGCCCCCTCTGGAAGCTATCAGGAGAACTGGCTACATAGGATTTGGAGAAGGCTGAGGTTCTTCATGACATCTTTGCATTGGTTTTCACTGGCAAAGGCTCTGACCGCACCACCCAAGTCTTGGAAGGCAGACACAGGGACTGTGAGAGTGAAGACCTTGGGCCCACTGTAGGAGAGGGTCTGGTTTGACATCATCTTAAAAACCTGAACATACACAAGTCCATGGGACCTGATAAAATCGATTCGTTGGTCCTGAAGGATCTGGCAAATGAAGTTGCTAAGCCGCTGTCCATCATATTTGAGAAATCATGGCAGTCACGTGAAGTTCTGGAAGACTGGAAAAAGGGAAATATGAGCCCCATTTTCAAGAAGGGGAAAATGGATGACCCAGGGAATTACAGTCCAGTCAGTCTCACCTCTGTGCCTGGCAAAATCTTTGAGCAGATTTTCCTGGAAAGCATGCTAAGGCACATGAAAAATAACAAGGTGGTTGGTGACAGCCAGCATGGCTTCACTAAAGGGAAATCCTGCCTGACCAATTTGGTGGTTTTCTATGATGGGGCTACAGAACTGATGGACAAGGGTAGAGCAGTTGACGTCACTTACGTGGACTTGTGCAAAGCGTGCAACACTGTCCCACGCAACATCCTTCTCTCTAAATTGTAGAGACATCAATTTGATAGGTGGACCACTCGGTGGATAAGGAACTGGCTGGATGGCTGCACGCAAAGTGTTCTGGTCAATGGCTCAATGTTCGGCTGGAGACCGGTAACGAGTGGTGTCCCTCAGGGATGGGTGTTGGGACCGGTCTTGTTTAGTATCTTTGTCAGTGACATGGACAGTGGGATAGAGTGCGCCCTCAGCAAGTTTGCCGATGACACCAAGCTGTGTGGTTCGGTTAATACGCTGGAGGGAAGGAATGCCATCCAGAGGGACCTTGACAGACTCGTGAGGTGGGCTGATGCCAGCCTCATGAAGTTTAACCATGACAAGTGCAAGGTCCTACACCTGGGTCGGAGCAATCCCAGGCACAGCTACAGGTTGGGCAGAGAAGAGATTCAGAGCAGCCCTGTGGAGAAGGACTTGGGGGTGTTGGTTGATGAGAAAATGAACATGAGCCAGCTTCAGTGTGTGCTCGCAGCCCAGAAATCCAACCGTATCCTGGGCTGCATCAAAAGGAGTGTGACCAGCAGGTCGAAGGAGGTGATCCTTCCCATCTACTCTGCTCTTGTCAAGACCTTGGAGTATTGTGTGCAGTTCTGGTGTCCTCAACATAAAAAGTACATGGATCTGTTGGAACAAGTCCAGAGGAGGGCCATGAGGATGACCAGGGGACTGGAGCACCTCCCATATGAAGATAGGCTGAGAAAGTTGAGGCTGTTTAGCCTGGAGAAGAGAAGGCTGCATGGAGACCTCATAGCAGCCTTCCAGTATCTGAAGGGGGCCTATAGGGATGCTGGGGATGGACTCTTCTTTAGGGACTGTAGTGACAGAACAAGGAGTAATAGATTAAAACTTAAGCAGGGGAAGTTTATATTGGATATAAGGAAGAAGTTCTTTACTGTGTGGGTGGTGAGGCACTGGAATGCGTTGCCCAGGGAGGCTGTGAGTGCTCCATCCCTGGCAGTGTTCAAGGCCAGGTTGGACAACGCCTTGGGTGGCATGGTTTAGTGTGAGGTGTCCCTGCCCATGGCAGGGGGGTTGAAGCTAGATTTGCTTAAGGTCCTTTCCAACCCTAACTCTTCTATGATTCTATGTTTCTACTTTTTTTTTAGAGTAATACATAATGGCACTGTGTAACAAAGTGTAAATTGTTATCTCTACGGTGAGATATGAACATACTGGGTAAAATTTGACATATCAGATGTAACAAATGTAAACTAAGGATTAAATGATACTATATGGAATCAGATTTTTTTTTGCTTTCAAACTGTTTTTATTCTTTTCCACCTTTAAATTTAGAATCTTATAAAAATTGTCAAACTAATTTTTAACAAATTAATATTTATAGTAGAAAATATGATAATTATAAAATTTCTAATTTTCCCTGTTTGTTTTCACCTCATTAGCAGCTGGCAGACTACTTTGCTGCTTGAGGGGAAAGAGAACCTTGACAAAATGAAATGAAGGCTGGAGCAATTCCATAATTGAGTGTTTGTGCTCACATATAAATCTGTTTGTTCTGGCATTATTTGCTTGCTTTCCTTTAAGTATGTCAGATGAACAAAAATATCCTCCTTTTTAATTAATTACTGCAAAAACTGAGCTTTATTTAAATTCTAAAACAATTCCTTGGCATTCATTTTCAGCTACAGAAATACATTTTCATTGACTAAGCTGAATGAAAAATTAATGTAATTCCAATTTACTGCATGCAGCCTGAGTTCCTAGATCCATCCTGGAAGCATAATATTGTTGAATGGTTTAACAGGAATCCATTCATAAGCATTTCAATATAGAGAGAGACATCAGACTTCTTCCTAGATTTTACTTTGGACATCTGAACAAGAAAAGTAATGGTTGCTTAGACTTCTGAGACAAATTCTAGTCTTAAAGATGTTTCTGCTTTTAAAAAGTGTGTTTACAATTAGAGGTGCATTTGGAATAAAATGAGACCAACTCAAAGACATGCTAGCTTGTATCTAGCAAAAGATAAAGTTTCTTGAATTGTACAAAATAAGTTAGGAAACTGTTGCTGTGCTATAAAAATAGATTGGACAGTAGAGCTACAGTAAAATACAAAAGACCCATCATGTGCATGGGGCTGTTTTTCCTCAAGGGCAGGACTTTTTACTTTTCCTTATTGAACTTCATGAGGTCCCAGTAAGATAATTTCTCCAGCTTGTTGAGGCCCCTCTGGATGGCAGCAAGATTCTCTGCTATATCAGCCAGTCCTCCCAGTTTTGTGCCGTCTGCAAACTTGCTGAGTGTACACTTTGTCCCATCATTCCCATTATTAATGAAGATGAACAGGACTGGACACAGGATTGACCACTGGGGTACATAGCTAGCTACTGATCCGCTGCTATACTTTGTTCTACCGATAGCCATCCTCTGAGCCCAGTAATTCAGACAGTTTTAGATCCACCTCACTGATTTCTCATTCAGTCCATACTTCATTATATTCTTTATGAAGATCTTATAAAAACTTAGTGGAAACTAGTCAAGTGGAAGTTTGTTGGCTGTGCTTGATTAAACAAGGTTATGATTTGGTACATTTGTGTGAATGGAGATCATTTACAAAATTTCCATTTCTCTGTATTTGCAGCATGTCTTTTAATTAAATAATATTTTTACAAGATTTCAGTTAGTTTGAACTATCATCACATAAAACATGGAAATATATTCACCTGGGAGCACACAGCACATGTTAAACCTTGCTTTACTCACATAGATGCAGTTAAGAAAGTTGGGAATTAATCCCGTAGGCATGTTAATGCACTTTTTTGACAACTGTTATTAACTCTAGCGAGGTATTTTAATTGCAGATATCCTGCTGACTGAATATTCAAAGGGTAATTGGCAGCCAATCACCAGTGTCCCAGATGCATTTTCCTGTTCCACATGTATCCCGTGTCTTTATATTCAGGGTAGTTTATTCAATCTTTAAAGCCTTGGTGTCACAGATATTTTAACACTTTACAGTAACATTTTGTTTTCATTGTCTTGAATTCAGCATTTGTATCAGGGAAAAGTTTTCCCTAGTTAACCTTTTTTATAGATTAGTGTTGAAAGTTATAGATCTCAGCACAGATTCCTTTGGGACTGTTAGTAGCACATGTTGACCACTTATACAGTATACAGAAATACATATTCTTACTTCTTAATTAGTTTACAATCCACAAAATAGCCTTTATAAGACAGCTACAGGTGTTTTAAGATTCATTGATGGGAAAGATTATAAAAAGTTGTTTAAAAAGACAAGTATGCTTGCAGCTATGCTTAGCTACCTAAGTGACTGTTTGTGTCAAAGACTGCTACATTGGTGGGGAAGTATCCTTTACATAACCAATATAGTCACTTGCCCATTAGATAGTATATGTGTGTCTAATATTTTTGGAAGGGGGTTCTTGCTTATTTATTTAAAATATATTTTCATCTAATTTGCTTGATGATACTAAAATCTGACACCCACCACCACACCCCACCCCCCCTAGTTTGTGGCTGCTTGAATTCTTCCTGAATCTCTTTTTGATAGCTATTAACACACATACCATCTTTCATTTTTACAGCAGTAATTCATTTTAGTGATAGTTGGTCAAAAGTCTGGACCTGAGTTTGTAGTTCAGAATATTTGAAATTAAAACTTCTTTGGAACTTGTTACTATATAGTGGCTGGTTCTTTGTTTTGTTTGGTTTGCCTTTGGAATAGGTTGAGGGGGTCTTAGCTTGTTGTCTTTGTGTACTGCTACCTACTTAAACAGTCTCTGATACTTTAAAATCACTGAATTCTTGTGAATCTTTCTAGACAGGTATCCTGATTTTTCTTTTCATAGGAATAGATCTTGTCAGGTCTGTGCTAGGTTTGCTAGGTCACCCCTTTCAGGGACTTATGCAGATAAATAAGTGAGAACAAATGCCTGGTAGTTACGTGTGTGCCTATAATTAGAGAAGAGCTAATGAGTTTGCAGTCTGAGATGTCCCTTGGTAATTTGTTCATCCTAGGTGAAAAGAACAGAAGACAGAGGAAGGACTGGGACTCCTTTGGGGAGCCAGCAGTGATTTACTGATTATGTAGTGAGACCTATCCACTACAGCACTGAAACTCTAAGGAAGGAAATACATAGGCTTAATATTCACTCTACTATTGAGATTATTTTAGTTAGGACCTATCACTGAAGTCCAACTCTACAGATGACTTTTAACTGCACATTGGGGGGAATTCACTTTGAAAAATAACCTTTCTATTTATTTAAAATGTAGTGATATGTTTATACCTAGGTAATCATAATATAGGCTTGGCAAGTAGAGAAATATTCAAAGTAGTAGGAAAGTATTTGTAAGTGCAATGTTATAAATGTGATGCAGAGGGAGGGGTCGATAGCTATTGCTCTTATTTTTGTCTTAAAACAGAAACATCCCTTTATGATCTTGTTTGGCTTGTTCTCCTTTTTAAACCTAAAGGGAGGTCTCTTACTTGGGTTTGCCTAATACTTAGAGTATTTTTCTTGTGTCTAGCCACAGACTGACTTTTTACTTAAAATTTCTTTTAATCTTTTTTTTCTGTGTGCTGATATAGAAAATTAGAATGCAATATATGAAATATGACTTATAAGGTGTTATTAGAAAGTAAAAGTGTTTGTCATTGGCAGAAACTTTTTTCTTTTTTTTTTTTTTTAATCGTGGAAATAGTAGCAGTTACTATTATACCATGTGAGCTATATGACTATTGTATGTAGTCTCATAAATCTTGCTTAAGTGAATTTAACCAGTGATATTAAAACAATGAATATTGTAAACTGTACATCTTCCCCAACATAAGAATCTTGTTCAAGCTTGATGTTTTTGCATTTACTAAGACTAAAAATCACTCATACAGTTTCTGTTACAGACCTTTCTTAAGAGAATAGAGAAGAACTAGCATGTCAATGCCACTTGAAGTTCATTTTAAATGTGTTAAATTAGTATCTCACACCGTCACATATGAGAACTTAGGGACCAAGTGAAACTGTCTGGCAGCTCACTGTATCGAAAACCAGACATTGCCCTTTAAATAAATTTCACATATAC